GGGTGGGAAACTGACCAGCAGCGGCTGAATCAGGACGCCTGGGGCAGAGCAGCTGGGGTGCTGCCGGGTTGGTACAGTAGCGCCGAGGAGCGGCGCTGCGGGACCAACCCGGCAGCGCCCCAGCTGCTCTACCCCAGGCGTAGGCAAGAAAAGCCTGGTCTGCTGGGGGAGAGAGGGGCACTAGCTGCACCCCCCCACAGCAGACCAGGGAGACGCGGGTGGCGGGACCGCCCACGTCCTCCGCGGCTTTGCTCCTGGTCTCCCTGGTCTGCAGGGAGATGGGGAGCAAAGCCTTGGAGCACGCCCGCAGTGGGACAGCCCAGGCGCACCTGGGCTGTCCCGCTGCAGGCATGCTCCGCGGCTTTGCTCCCGGTCTCCCTGCAGACCAGAGAGACGGGGAGCAGCTTTTCTCACCCCGGAGGACGGGGGCGGCGGGACTGCAGCGCATCTGGGTGTCTCGCCACTCCAGTCCTCCGGATCCGTGTAACTCGGGGACTGCCTGTATCCCTGTACTTGCGGAAGCCCTACAAGTGAAGTCAGTTGCAAGATTTGGAACTAACATTTATGATAAGAAGAGAGACTTGCCACCAATCAAGTGCAATAGTTATGACTTCTTATAAGAAAGAATGATAAAGAATTGTAAACAGAGTTTCTACATCCAGCCTCTTTCTTGAGCATGACTGGCACAAGTAATGTCAGTACATAGGAGAAAATCCTCCTACACATATTTCCAAAATTCTTACAGGGGCCATAAATCACAGAAATATTTTAAAACTATAATTCTTTGTTAACACTGATTAGAAAAGATCAGTTTCGTGGCAAATGTATTTGCAAATGGACTGAAAGCAAGAAAATAAGAAAAGAATATTCTAGAAACTAGAAATATTTTTTAAAAATCTCCCAAAACTAACATAAACCTGAATGAAACCAACGATTAAGAGAATTAATAAGCATACAAGGCCTTAGGCATGAGATATTTATACAGTACTTACTCAGTTCTTCTAAGCCAACCCCTCCCCACCATGGAAATCAATGGGAGTTTGCCTGACTAATGATCTGAGGATATGGCACATTATAATTAGTAAAGATTGGAACCTCATCTGAACTGTGAAGCTTGAGCCCACCTCAGGTAATGCCACTATAATCCAATCTGTAGCACCTCAACAATAACCATAGCACAGCAAAACCAAACAAAACAGGCCTAAAACCAGACAAAAGGACACAAAATGTATGTGACTGGATGACAACATGTGGGCCCAGATTTGTCTTCCTTGCACACAAGAGGCATTTACATAGTGTTATTGTCATCAAGCCTGGTATTTGCATTGAGAATCACCCACTGACAAGGGATACCTAGTCATGCAATGACACAAGCTATTTATTGATTTCTCTGAATAAAACCCAAACCATTGCAGTATGGTTTGTGAAAAGGCTACCCTGAAAATATTCCTACTGCAGTTCACTATCGTCTTTCACTGTGAGGAGAAATTAAAGTTTTCTAAAACTAATTTCTGCTCCCAAAATTACTTACTAAACGTATCACCCATTAAGCATAGTGTACCCTAATGCTTTTGTCAATAAATTAAATGCATTTTTTAAGGAATCAATTTGAAATGTGAAGGCATTTTAAAAAAAAATCAGTATTTCATCTTCCAAACTATTATATTTTGAATATTAATAAAGATGGGCTGAGGTGGGATTGTGCTAGGTAAATGGGTGTTCTAGAACTATGTACTCGATAGCCCACGAATACATAATTCAGAAATTTTTTAAGTGGCCTCAGGCTGCCTCGGAAGGAGCAGGACCTCAGGTGGAAGGGGTGGGGCCAGGACACTTCAGTGCTTCCCTGCCCACAGACTCTGATTGGTCTTTGGTTGGGGGAGTGCGTGAAGTGTTTGCCCCTGCTCCCTTCTACCCTCTCCCCCCGAAAGAACCACCAGCTGTTCAGAACAGCTGGAGGTTCTTTCTAGGAACCTGTGCCTTCGGCAGTGGGAGACTTCACACACTCCCTCACCTCCACCCTCAGGTCAATCAAGGCCTAGGGGGAGCACATGAAGTCTACCCCCGTCCTGCAAGTGACCGCTGTGCTTAGAGTCATCCGACAGCTAAGCAGGGCAGTGAGGAGCATGAAGTCTCTTGCTCCCTGTCCTCCGGAGTGTGGTGCTTAGAGTCAACCACCAGGGGAAGCGGCAGGACCTCTGCAGGACGGACCAGGCCCACAGAGGCCATTTTGCCCACCACTGCTATAGCTTTTAACCTACACAAGCTCCACAGCTTTTGCATTGCAATACATAATGCAATCCCTGCACTAGTCATTTATTCAAACCACAGCAATGCATAAAAATAAGAATTCTCATGTAATCATTGCAAACACCAATAAAGTATGAATGTTAGGCCATGAGTACTTTTTTAACTCCACCTCACTCCACCCCAAATATAGGTGTATATTAGGGACATTATAATGGTATAGCTTTGTCACTTATGATATGATTTTTTAACCAGTATAGCTATGCTAGTATAAGCCACAAAAATAGCCCTTTCTACTGTTTTAAGTACTTTCATGCCAAGAAAACTATGCCCAAACTAGGAATGTTCTGCCATTTAATTGTACCAGTACAGTTACATTGGCAAAACTTTTGAGCTTGGACCAGCCAATACTTCACACATCTTCACTTAGGATACACTTTTGTCAGCATAACTATGTTGTGTCAGAAATAGCTCCAAGCATAAGGTATCCTGAATTTTTGCCTGTATCGCATGGTTTGCTCAGGAGGGCTGGAATACGCTACGATGACAAAAGCATTAGCAGACACTGCATCCTTACTGGAAGTACTTTGATGATACAGTATACAACTGTAGCTATTCCAGCAACATTATTCTAGTAGAACTAGCTTTAGATGTGAGAACTGTCATAAGTGGAGTGATAGTGGGCACTCTGGTTTTGAAGGCTTATTTAGCAATGGCTCTTTCAAGACCTCTAAAATTCAATAGCCATTTGAATTTACTTAGAGTTCCAAACATAGGAATAAGTGAAACTTAAGAATTAGGTTCAGAATACAGGCAGTCCCCGAGTTACGCCGCAGCTACGAACCGGGTTTTTCTCACCCCGGAGGACAGGAGCGGCAGGACGCCCAGATGCGCAGTGGTCCCGCTGCCCGCGTCCTCCGAGGTGAGAAAAGCTGCTCCGCATCTCCCTGGTCTGCATCTCCCCCTCTCCCCCAGCAGACCAGGGAGACGCTGAGCAAAGCCGCGGAGCACGCAGGCAGCGGGACAGCCAAGACGCGCCACGGCTGTCCCCCTGCCGGCGTCCTCCGAGGCTTTGCTCCCCATCTCCCTGGTCTCCTGGACAGACCAGGGAGATGGGGAGCAAAGACGCGGAGCACACCCGCAGCGGGACAGCCCAAGCGCGAC